AATACTTCCAATATCTCCGCACGTATGGCTTACTGGTGTATATGTTACAATCACTGAATTTAACTTGATTTGTCACAGAGTTTAGAATGTGGGTTTTTGAATTTTACAGTTGAATTTTACGAATTGAGTTGGTCAATTGGGAAAATATCCCTTAGATGTGAAAAAGCATTTGTGGTTAGGATGTCAAATAACTCCTCAGATGAGTTACAATTACAACAAGTTTCATTATCTTAGTCGCCACTATTTATCAAGATCCTATGGAATGAATATAATTTTCAAGATCAATATGTCAGACTGTCATTCTAGGCAAAGTTTAAGCGAGATCTTCAGATTTGGGGTTTTTCGTGATGTGCTACAAATATTCCTTTGATTTAGTGTTAGCATTTTCACATATCTCATTTATACAACAGCCTTCCCACTATACAAGAATTTGTACGTTGGATATTATAATGGACTGACTGAATGATTGATTGAAAGTAAATCACAAAAATTCTTATTTGGACGAACAAAGTCTTACTGGAACGTCCAATGTTGGTGCCGAATGGTTGTTGTGTTAAAATGGGGTTAAAATGGTCAAATGTGGAGATAGTTGCTGCTTTTTATTCGCTAAACTACAACAACGAAGGATGCTGCAACCACTGGCGCAAACTTAGCCCCAGACCATATGACCGTGGATATTAAGATGAAGTGTTGTAATTTGATTTACTTTCAAATCAATCAATCATTCAGTCAGTTTATTATGATAGTCAGCCTATAAACGTTCTTGTTAGTGGGAAGGCTATTGTATAAATGAGTATCTGGAAATGCTAACATTAAATTAAAGGGATGTTTGTAGCACATCATAGAACCCAAAATCTGAAACGCTCGCTTAAACTTTGCCTAGAAGGGCAATATGACATATCGATCTTAAAAATATTTATTCCGTAAGGAGGAGTCTTAGTAGACAATGGCAGCTAAGATAATGAATTTGGCTGTAACTCACCTGAGGAGTTATTTGACATGCTAATTACGAATGCTTTTTCATATCACACTTCCTATTGCAGAGCTCCAAAGATCTTGGTGATAACCACTCTCATATTCTAGCCTGGATCTCTCAAAGATATATCCCTACATTCATTAT